GGCCTCGCCCGTGAGCTCCCCCACATCTACAGCCTCCTCGCCACCCTCCACTGGCTCCACACGCTTGCGCAGAAGGGGTGAAAGCGTGTGGGGTAGCTGAACTTCATCTGATAGAGACCGCATTTTGTCCATACCAAAAACACTGTACTGGTTGCGGCTACCTCCAGGAAGGCCCGTCTTAGTAGTGCTTTCGAACAAGGACAGTGCTGGCTTGATCGAAGCTCGCCCCGTGGAGTCCAGCCAGGGTGAACACGACAGCTTTTGCAGCGTGCGTATTCTCGTATTGAGTTCCTGTGTGAGAGATGGGGTCGGCCAGGGTTGATTGGCTCGCTCACTCTCTCAGCCTCTCTCAGCTCCGACAAGGCACCCTGCAGATCCAGCAGAGTCGACGTCATAACACGATGGTGTAACGCTGACACTATAAGTAGTCTCAACAGATATGCGTTATAGACTATAGCACAAGGCACTCCAGGAGCATCCTTGCAGTGGTGGGATAATTCACTCATAAGACAACAACAAGTTCCTCTAGAAAGACAGTAAGAGTACAATGGAGTCTTATATACTATAAACTATACATGCAATGTTTTAAGGTTATACGGCCGGCTCCATCACACGAGGCCTTTGGTCGAGCTTTCGACTCGAGTGCGCCCGGGGTGCTCCACTGGGATCAGCCGTGGATGGAGGCGGTCTCACAGAGGGAAGAGGAGGAGCAGAAGGTGGAGGATGGAGGCTTTCTATAGGCGATGCGCCTCCCTCGTGGTCACCGACCCAGTGGAGGCCTCTGTGAGGGACCTGACGAGTAACCTGATACCAAAACACATGCAATTCAGCGATCAGCTGATCTTACTGTTGCATTCGACGGTGAGGATGATGCTGAAGTCGGCAAGTAAGTGAGAGCCTCCAAGCACACCTCCGCGAAGGTCGACTCATCAGAGTCGGCAATACTATGAATGTTGCCGTCCACTAGCGACCCTAGTGTCGGTACACTAACAGGCAGGACATGCTCCTGTAACTCCCCCGAGCGGTGGGTACCTCCGGACGAAGTAGTACGACGGAGCCAGTGTGATAAGGGAGCCGACTAATGAGCCGATTGCCACAAAGTGCCACGTCTTAATGTCCACAGTGCTAACGTATTTGATCCACACTGATACGAACTCTCCTGCGAGAGCATGGGCCGTCTAAAAGAGACAAGGCCGACGAAGCGGCAATAGCAGCAGCACGTACCATGAGGGCCAGAAACCAGCAAGTATAGCCGGCAAGCAAACACACGAGAACCCGACGGGGCCACTTCCGATTGCCTATACCACATCGACACCGGCTAATAGCTCCGTCGCTAGGTGAGAGAAGGGAACGGGCGGAGGTTACGGCGGACCGAGGCATGTCTCGGACTGTGCTAACGACAACACCAGCCGACCCTCCCCGAACAGCAAGACCCAAATACTGATACAGAACTTCTATACCGTTCAGAGATCTATCTGGCGGTTGAGGCCATCGATTCAGCTGGCGAGGAAAATCACATTCACGGGGGGATATCAATTTGGCGGTAGTCGTCGAATAGGAAAAACAATTCCGCAGGCAAGGAATCCAACTTCACCGACAACAACATAAATTTCGGATGGCAGTTACTCGATGATGCCGATTCACACTGCGCAGCCTTACGATCCATTCCTGAAGGGTAGCATTCACTGGATGCAGCCTCCGCATGGTACATACAATCTACGTTGTATTAGTGGTAATCGTCCTTGGTACACGATATTGGTCGAGCTCTGATCGTAGGTAGACCCTCGTGGGGTCAAATAGGACTCGTACTAGCCACTGAAACAAGCCACAGCCCTTCACGAACAGGTACCACAAAAACGCCAATACTATACAGGAGGAACTGAATACCCAGATAGATGCACTAGTAGACAGCAAGACTATTGATGCCCCTCCTCATCCTCCCGAACACAGTAAACAGAACTCTCTTGCCTAACTCCATTAAGGAGCACACGAATGCATCTATAGGGCACCACCCGTCGCCCGAATCGACCAGAGCTGAGGAGCGTAGTAAGCAAGCATTAGCTGAGACGGCCTTGCTGGCAAACTCAACCTTGCCTTGGCTATCGTAATCTGATCACTACTACCCACAATCGTGATACTTCTCAGGTAAAACCCGAAGATAACAACGACATTAGTCTCGCCCACAGGAGTCTCAACTGCTGTTGAACCAACATACGAGTCACACACCCATCACTCAAAGGTAATATTCCATCTAACGCCTCCCTCGAACCCAAGATGTATTCGATCGCCCATTTGGACAGCTTCGTTGCCTTCCAGAAGGGCGTAGGTACTGGAGTGACGAATACTACTCAATAACCCCCTTGAAAAGATGGAGGCCCACATTGAGAAACGCCACACTCTCATGTAGTTTACCACGGAAAAATACAGTTTACGAGGTCCGCTCAACCGCATTTAGGCGGAGAGTAATGGTAAATAACGTTTCGCTGTAGCGCGAGGCCGCACTATAATTTCGTGGCGCAGTGACGTTTTCTCTCATAATGCGCCTTCATCATATGATCAGATCCATCTCAGTACGCCAATACCGGTTGTTGTACCTGCCATTAAATCACCCAGCCCTCCCCCTCCTGCAACTCACGGTCCCAACTTGGGTACTTCCGGATGGTCCTGTTCCTCATCCTGACCGTCCCAAGTGAGTGGTACCCGGGGGTAGAAGGCGACCTACAAGCAGCAAGTCAATCGATCGCTCTCATCACCGATCAGCCTACCAGGGCATCCTCGGCACCAATATAAAGTGAGTTATACACCCGCCAGTAGCACTCCCTCACTCGTCGAGCCGGATGCCACAACCCTTGAACGACGTACCTAAGGGGCCGCATGGATGCACGTAGCCACGACCTCTGTCGGAACCTACTGGAGGACTCGACAAGGCCCTATACTGACTCGCATTGCATCCATTGCATCAAAGAAAGCCTGAGGGGGAGGAAGAGCTACTGTCGAGTATACCACCACCCCACTAGAAGGCGCACCTGTATCATATGAGGCGCGGTCTCGAAGATGTTAGGGAAGATGTAGTTCATCAAATGCTCCAGACACTCCTCCTGACCAAGAGCATGCACACCTGAGACCATCACAACAACAGCACTGGGGACCATCCCATAGGAAATGTGTGAATACCCAATGCCATATGCTTCACCGCCCAGGTAGCCGTCTGCCGATGGACTAGGTCCCTATCGATGAGGGCGTCCTCAAACAAGGGTGTCACCGCGTGAACATAGTCCTTACCCATCTCACCAATATACCTGATATCAAGACAAAGCGATCACGCTCACTAACCCCATCAAAGTGACCTCGCGAGGAGCTCATTTTGTAATCTATTCGCTAGCACTGCGAGTAATATTCCTCTAGTGACCGCCAGAAAGGGAGTGCTTACTCGAACATGAATGACAGACTCTTGAGGATACCGTTCTGGACGTGGAGCTCTGGGACCTTGTACTCGTTCATTATGGCCGGCAGTACAGTGAAGGGACCACATGTCTCCGCCACAATACCAATTGCCACAGTTGCTGACATCCACTCAAAACTACCGCGCGCCACGAAATTCCCACCACTTACTGCACACCCTCAACTGTCGTTCCTGAACCTTGAGGTTGTTGAGCAAAGTAGCGATCACATCATGAGGACCAATGGCCTTGGCGATGTACCTACCACAAGCAACCATTCACATAGCCCTTCGAACAATATATCATCTTCGGAGAGTTCCTATACAAAATTTCAGGTTGATAGGAGTAGCAATGAGGAGGTTGGCTCTTCAGGTTGCACGTACTGGAACCAGAACAACTCACCCGAAAGTATTGACAGCAGCTCTCCTGATGCCCTTCTTCTGAGCCTTAAGGAGCTCCAGTAAGTCAAAGCAGATCCTATTCCATTCTCTAGGGGGAGCCAGATCCGCACCACGGTCAGCGATTCGACCGATGAGATCAATACCTGAGATCACTGCTGTTGAGACAGGCGGTGGGAATAGGGGGACCCACAGTTCTCTTCAACTTTCTCATGACGATTCTTCAGAATGGGTGTTAACCGCGGCAACAGATCTTTGATTGGCGGAGCCATCTTGGTCATACCGATGACGTTCACGATGGCCTTCCATGCACCCAGGATCGATCCGAGCACCTGACACCATCTTATGAGCGACCCAAGAGCTACCACCGTGATGAGCTCACCTCTGGGTACTCCTCACCGAGATACTCATACAGGAAGAGACCAAAGTGACCCAACATCTGTTCCCTCTCACACAGCTTCATAACGCCAGCTATGCGTGCTATCAGATCGGCTGCTTGTTGACGTACCTTGCTTCATACCATTATCGACCTCACAAACAAGACACACCTTACCCTTGCACTAGGAGTATTCAATCTCCACCGGATTATACCAGCGATCTGTGGCAAGTACGGCTTGATACGTACCTGTGTAAGCAGCCTCTATAGTACTCAGCCATCAACGAATATCATCATCAGTACCCCCAAACAGTTGACTATAGTCCCAAACCCATTAAGCATAGTTTCAGTATCGTCAGACGACTGCTCTTGGAAGGCATACAGCATCCCATCGACGATCTAAAAATGCCAAACATGAATCGCTTCGCTCCGCTAATAATTCCCACTTGTTCTTCAAGACGTGAGTCAACATCCTGGACGCCCATTTCATCCACAATCTTCTCGATGGTTTCCATGACCATTCGGCGATACCTGAATCACACGTACGCCAAACCAGCCACCATCACCAACTCCTCACGCTTCATTGTTATCCTTCAAATCTTCGGCAATCCTCTGGACAATCTCCGCTCCGCCCACTTTCCTTGCCAACTCCACAGTGGTGTCCACCAACTGTCTATAGTTCCCTACAACAACAGCAGCATGCACCCTACCACTACAATGCTCCTCCGCCCTTACTCCGATCAGCTGCCATGCGGACCACCCAGAAGTTCCTGAAGAAGGGTGGAAGGATATCCTCTCGAACATAAGCTGCCTCAACACCCTCTGTCGCCACGCATTGCTTCACCACTTTCAACACCTACAACAACACTATCATCACCGGGCACCACAACCCAGCATCAACCTACGATCTTCTTCATCTCCTCATCAGGAGTTGAGAACTCTCGCACCAAGATGATCATAACCTCCCGGGTATAGTAGTTAGCATGCTCCGCGTCCATCAAAGGGATGATGTACCTTAACAGTAGATGAACCCAAACCCATAGATGGTCTCCTGCTCACCCAATGGCCTTGAGGAACGCCGCCAGTCCCTTACCGCGGTGCTCACAGATACCCTAATCAAGAAGGAAGACTCCCACCCCAACCAAGAGGATCACGACAACTCACTCGCCATAACGGCCTAAGGACACTGTCAAAGCACTCAATACCATACGGGAATGCAGCCTCGGCCAGAGCAGCAAGAGCCAACGCCGTGATTGTACGGACCTACATGCCACGGTGAATGCCGCTGGCTCAATGGCAGCTCCTACCTTCTGCTGTTCATCACCCAATCCAAACTGCACTATATCGACAAGTTGCTTCAAGTAAGATAGCACTCCACAGCCCATCAGAAGGGCTATTTGCTGCACCTACACAACGCCAATGGTAACACAAACACCAACCTGCACCCCTCAGAATTACAATCTTGATGCCTGTGTGTCGCGCCTGCCAACTCTTCTTACTCTGGCATACAGCCTTCAAGAAAAGCATAATCTGCGGCACACCAAGGGCACTCGCCACCACAGCGAACGCCCTAGCAGTCGTATTACGGACATACCTACAGCAGCAACCTCATCATACCACACCACCACCAACTCACGACTCACTCATCGGGATGGTCAATATCTGGTCTCATAGTCGCGATCATCGTAGCCAAGCCAGCTGCCTAAGTAAGGCACGAGTCATCAATATACCAGACAGCAGCGCTGTACTTTAGACAGATTGGAGATGATCTCTCGTCCCTCCACTCGAGCAAAGTAGTCCTCATCAATCAATAGAGGCTCAATGACGACCAGTATCTTATGGACGTAGGGACGGACCATATCGTCCAGCTTGTGGAGAACACGGTCAATGACCTGACCAGCTCCGTAGAAACCCCGTGACTGAACGTAACCTCATTACCTTCACCAACAGATGCCGTTCCTGATCTTCCAGAGTGGTGCTCATAAGCAGAGGGAGGATTTGGTTGAACAAGGCATCCGGCCCGAACTGCTTCGCCCGCTCCGTGATCTCCCTCATAGCCATCTTGCGCATCTGTGGCGTGCCTAGCCAGCAGCTCATCATCACCCCATAACCCCTCAGGGACCACACCTACCATTCTTAACCTTCAACAGCAAGGCCATGACCTTCCTCTCCTTAGCCTCCTCTGGGCTCAGGTTATCATCAGTCTCTCCACCCTACCATAACGACGCCACTACGGCGAGATCAGCCCCCCCCTACCCTTACCTGTATCAGGGCAGAGAAGTGCTGTACATCCTCAGGCCGCAGGTCCGGCAGGTCTCCAGCTCCACCGTATCTATACAAGCTCCCTCCATCCCTCGCCAGTCCACTACTATAAGCTCACTTAGGATGAACAAGTCCAGTACCCGCATCACTGAGACCAGCAGTCGAGGCATCAAGCCCAGCCATCATCGCAGAGTAGCGCCACCAGACGGCACTGGAACAACACAATGGAACCACATGTCATAACGACAGAAGCCTACTAGAAA